TGCGCGAAATCGCCTTACATCATTGCTCCTGCACAATTCTTTTTAGGAGCAAACCGGTAGTTTTTTGCTGGTCCATCGCTATCGCAACACGAATAGTGTTGCTTGATTTCTCCTGTCCACTTTTTGTTTATCAGCAGCAATGATTTATTTAAAGAAAGAAGTTGATACCATTGCGTCTAAGATGCATTCGACAAACGTTGGTTGGATGTCGTAGGCGCCATTCTTTCTCTTCACGCACAACCCAATTACCAGGTTTCTAACGAGTCAAAGAGACTTGGAGAGATTTCCAAGTGTCGTGTGTGAGCCTGTGGGTGTGCATGATTCAAAGTACCACTTAACAACCTGAAAGTTAGCTATACTGCTCTAATTCTGACCCTGTTTGGGTTGCAATGCGACCAGCATTTAACGACGACAGTCAACTTTGATTGATAAATGGAAAGAACCTACCTATTAACCAATTCTGACGCGTACAATTAGTTATCAAGGCAAGCTAAATGTGATGTATATTAAGTGGAATAGGTAAAAGGTCATAAAATCTAAAAAAATCTCTTGCGAGTCGTTACACAATAAGCCTCGGATTTTCGTACTCTGTAAAATAATAAAACAAGAATGAACAGGGCCAAGGCGCACTTAAACAGAGGTGAAAATATGACGATTTTTAACTGCACAAATTTTGAACCAAAACCAGAATTAATAGTATAAGCTGAACTTTGCTTTCTTCAGTGTACTTAAAAGAATTCAGTTTGATTTTTAAATTGTGGTTTTCCTTATTAATTTTTAATTCGTGCGTTGACTACCACCGCAGATAGTTTCCGATTGGTCGATGGAAATATTCATAGCAGGTAAAATTAAATTTTCCACCGCAATTAATTAGGCTGAGTCAGAGATTGACCAACGTGTGAAAAATTACAACTGCCGTCTAATTTGTAGAGATTTAAGCACATAAACTAAATGGCAAATCACATGGTTAGCGGTGGTAGTAATCACGCAAACATAAAGTGCAAAAAGTTACGTCATAACCCCCATCTAAAGCCAAATTGCCAACTGAATTTCAGAGCACATCATTGGCTGGATTAAGCCAATCACACACGAATTTACTTGACTTTAAAACTGCGCGTTTATTGTGGGCGCAAACTGGAAAATTTTTTATTTCTCCGGATCGTAATAACTATTAGAGCTGCCTTATAAGCATAATGTTAGTTGATAAACAATCGTTTTTTCTGAAACTCTAAAATAAACTTATATGCCTGTCAACGTGTGTCATGATATTTTGCGTTGGAGTTTTAGCCCTCCACAAAAACGTAACTCAATTCTTAATTGTGCAATTAAGCACAGACGTAGTTCCATTTAAGAAGAACATATGACGACAATATGGCTATAAATAGCTCACAGTAAGAAACATCCACCAATTGTGGCTCGGTTATGTCAAAATGCTATGGTACGATGAAGATTTAAAGAAAAAGTTGAAGCAGAACTTAGCATAAGCATTATTTTATTAAAACAAAGTGGAATCCAACGGTGTGAATAACATTAGAAGAAAAGAAAACTGGCTAAGTTTTAATGCTGAGAAATCACACAGTATTGAAAGTGATTATATTAATCGATAAATGGACACAACTTTTATGCGTGTGTGGTCATTGTTTTAGTGGAGTTTAAGTGTAACCATAATATGTTTGAATCAAATAACAATAAAACCAGGAGGGTTTGTACATTAATTCCACTGTAAAAGGTTTGACAAAGAAACAAATAAAGACCTGTAAACTATTTTAAGCAGAGATCGCCAGTTTTTGACAAGATTAGCAGTTAAAAGTCACGAAATTACAAACTTATGTGCCAATAGGGAATTTCAACCTCATGAAATGACGCTCCTGGTTTTTCTGCTTCAACAGAAACAGGCTAGCTGATCAACTTGATTTAATCTACCTATAACCACGAATTCAAATGCTGCAGTTTACATAAGCAGTAGGGAATAACAAGAACTAATCATTAACATTTGTATTCCCTGCATTTCTCATCCAGGACGAAGCATTCGATTTACCATTGGCACACGCAAATTTTAATTTTTAAGTGAAAATTAACAGACAATAAGCTAGATTTTAGACTAATAATGTTTAAGCTGAACAACCGCAACTAAAAATTTGTTATTGTAGGCGAAAATTTTGAAGCAAATTGTTTAAATTAACACAGGCATGAACCGCGCAAAACTGAACCAGACAGAACGGGGGAATTCCCTAAACAGCAAAAATTGTGTAAATTATGCGGTAGAATAAGGGAGATCAGTTCAGACAATTTTTAGTTCTGTCAATTTTCGTGTGGAAAATACCTAATTTTATAATAAATATAACAGGCAGGCGCACATTACAAATGTGCATTTATTGATTTCAGAACAGGTTAAATCAGGTTTCACAAATGCACGGTTTATAAAACAGTAAATGCAAATAATAATGCACGTGCAGTGTAAAGAGTGGATATTAAACCTGTCAAAACTTATCTTGAATCATGGCTTGCACAATATAAGTCATCTAAATAACCGTTAAATATCTTAGGCAACAAACAAACATGAGTTATTTTGTAAATTTTAGGAATTCCCGTAGAACTCAAAATTAAAAAAGGAGGACTAAACAATGTTAGCATGTGCAAAATCAACCGTAAAATCAATGCTGGAATTATCATATAACTTCAAGATTCTAGCTTAAAATGAAACCTTGGAGCTATTAATGCTGGAACAGCCAATATTTTTGAGCTTTGGAATGTAGGTAATCTTTAAATCTAAAGAGGATTTAAGTAAAGCTACGCTAAGTACAATGGTTTTATCTGAGGGCATTTCAAAACTCTTCGAAAATTTGGTTGTTTTCTGGCAGATTAAACCAGCAATTTGCTTTTAGATCCAACTCAAAACTATGGCGTTAGGTCGATAGCCACGCAAATTCTTGACCTGTATTCAATATATTACAATATGTTTACCTCAAAAAATTTTAGTATTCACTTAAATTGAGATAAAATCAGGTTTAATTTATTTGAATATTATTTTTGCATTACCTATTTTAGCTAGATTTTTAAGTATGCAAATTTGGATACAAAACGGGTTCATCCAACTGATGTAACAATCGACGATGATATTTGACTAGAATGCTAAGAAAAATGCAGAAAGATTCATTTAGCGATCCATCGATGTTACTGTAATGACAGTATGGAATGCCTAATAGTCCCGCAGCTTTAATTGTGGAACAAAATATTTAGGATGTTAATAATTACAAGCATTTGGAACATAAAAATGTTTATATTTTTTTAAAATCTTATTTCCCCGACATCAACATGATCGGAGGCCAAGTAATGCATTTTCAAAACTTAAAATTCGGAGCAAAGTAAGAAAATAGTACATAACAGCCAAACACATAAATTTCAAAAACTAAAATGAAAAAAACTATAGTACGTTTTGTAAGCTAACCATAGGTTAATCTGATCAAAACATATTTGTTTAATCGATTTAGCTTACAACGCTTTATTTACTGTTGCATCTACAAAATTGGTTCTTGGGTGGTCCAACCCAATGAAAAGTTTTCTGATCATTTCCTTTGTCCATTTCTCATACATTACTTGCCAGGCATATGATGGCTCCTTTCCTCAGTTCTTAATTGAAAGCAAAGGTGGAGTGTAGGTTAAAGATTTTATCAATATTATAATACTGTGATATTTCTTTCAGTACAAGAAATGTTAAAAAGGAAAAGTTTAGACAAGCCACAGATTTATTTCAAGTAGCGATTCCAGCTTATCTCAGTTCACTTGTAACGCATCCGGAGAACCTGTGTAGAAATTAATATATTCGATTTGATATAAAAATTTAGACGATTACACGATCTGTAATGGTGCTCAGGGTCAACATAAATATTATATCTGTCCTTATTCCAATATCTCGTCCACATCGACCGATACAAAGGATTTTTGCTGTGGTGTTTTGGGGAGTCAATACTGCTGTTCTGAAGCAGAATTCAGGTAAGGTATTTCTGTTTGAATTACCCGAATATTCTACATTTTAGGCAGGGCATACAAATAATAAGGTGAACAATTAATTTTATGATTATACTGGTATAGGCCTTCCCTCATGGTATCTCCATCAATACTGATTGGTGCTGCTCTTGCGACATTGCTAGGAATGATGACAATTACGCTGATGGTGTTCGCTCGTTTTCACCCTAGTAATTTGCAGGTGCCTCTGAACGTCATTCATCCGGACAACGTAAGAATGAATTTTCGGCTCAGATCTTTTTATAAATCTAATAGCAAACCAAGCAGGTATTGTAGGTGCCACGGTGGGTTAGTGGCTCATCTTGGCACAAGGTAATGATGGTACTTACTTGGGTGGGTTGCTTGAGTGGGAAAAAATCCAAATATATTACATCTAGACACCTTACTAACACGCGAATTTGGCACTGAATTGCAAACATTTAAAAATAATCCTGGACGCAGATAGATGGCTATTAAAAGCAAATCACCCAAGGGCAAAGCCATTTAACCACCTCAGATCGCCACAAAGCTGTAATCGTTTCCCTTTGTATCAATTTAAACCTAGCACAAAGCCTTTTTCGTCATTTAAAGAAAAGAAATATTACAAGAAGCACCAATGTCGGGACCAGAAACATTTCCTCGCCCCCACCAAGTGGTCAACTTATTTCAAGTGACTCTGGGCGTTATAGCATGCGCCACAGCCAAAGAGGCCACAGCGAACGCGGCATCTGACGGCTTTTCATGACACACATCTGCACCGCAATAACTTTTAATAAAACTACTGAAATTTGTCTCTTGCTTGCTTAATTACACGCTGGACTAATAGCGGGGGGGATGACATAGCAGACACATAAGATGGACTTCATAAAGCACAAAACAACCTCCACTTTCCGTATACAACTGTATATGTATAATGACAAATTGTAATAAAAATAATAGTTCACTTGTCAATAATGAACGAAAGTGGAGGCAATGAAATCAAATGGCACGCAAGCTTAGAAAGCGTCCTTCTTCCTACGAATAATAGCCATTGCATCGATAGCACCTGACGCTCCGACACGAGCCTGTAAGGCTTCATCAGTGACACGCATGAAGGGGTTTGTTGCAAGTTCTTCCGCAACTGTCCCCGGCACTGTTGGCTGCCCATCTGAACGCAGTTTCGCACAAACGTTTATTCTGTCCAAAAGAGCGACGTTGTCTGGATCAACGGTTTTGGCGAAATCGAGATTTTTCACGGTGTATTCGTGACCGCAGTACACCTTTGTCGAGGCAGGGAGCTTACCGATGACTTCAAGCAAAGCATGGTACCTTAAAGCAAAATTGAGAATTTTTAGCTTCAATTTTGCGCAGGCAAGGAATGACCAGTACAAGAAGAGATAAAACAGGTACATGGTAGGAGAGAGAGAAAGGACTCACATCTGCTCAGCGTTTCCCTCAAAGAATCTTCCACACCCGCCAAGAAAAAGCGTATCTCCGGTGAAGACACAGCCATCAGACTGGCCATCTTCACAGGCATAGTAGCAGATGTGATCTTTCGTATGACACGGTGTCTTTAGGCAGGTAACCTTGATACCGGTGCCCACGGTAATGGTATCACCATGTTCCACTTGCTTGGTGACCGCTTCGACACGACCACTACCACCATAAACGGGAATTGGAGATTGGAGGGCTTTTATTAGCTTTGAATTGCCTCCTGCGTGATCCCAATGATGGTGCGTAGTAAGAACACTGGACAACTTTAGTCCTCGCTTGTTGACTTCCGTCAAAACGGAAGACGGATCCACCGGGTCAACAACTGCACATTGCTGAAAGAAGCGAAGACTTCTAAGCAATAGCTAAACGCAGCTTATGAACTAAAAATAAATTGACAGTTCGCATCAGGTATGCAGGAACATAAAATATGCCCATTCCTGCATAGGAGAACTAACCCAATAAGTTATACACAGCTAACACTAAGGTTCTCCAAAGGTATCAAAAGATGTGAACACATGGTCTCGGACAAGGAACGATTAGACGGTAATGATGAAGAAACTTATAAACTAGTGAATGTACTGAATCAACAAGTTGATGGCCCTCTGGCAACCGCAAGAATATTACAATGACCAATGTTAGATTAAGTAGCCGATTACAGATTGAATGAGCTTATTCTCACATGAACAAATCAACTAAATAATGATCGTTAAGACAAAAAATGAGATAGTCATTAAAACTGGCAAACAAAGGCACAATAAAAAGCTAACCATCGATTTTTCATCAATAAGTAAATACATGTAATTGTCGGACAGGGCTGGGAGAGTTAAGACGTGCATATTTGAGCAGCAAAACCGGACAAATGAACGAGCGTGAGACAGGGACAATAACCGCGCTGCCGATGTCATCTAAGCAAATTAGGCTGATAAAACAAGTCGATCATCTTTTTCTTTTTTAATCAAAAAGCCTTTATACTTTTATATCTATTCAAAAAGATTCGTTATTCATAATAAGCTTGAGTTGGCAAGGATTTATATTTAGCATGTCATCAGTACGTGTTTTCCACAAAGAAAGATGAATAAGGATAAGTGTAGTTGTAATATCGGTCACAATTCATGGAGCACAGTAAATTAAAATTTTAATGTTGTCATACTAGTGCAGCGACCTACAAGGGCTTGGGTATTCGACAGTAGGATATTCGCCTACGTGGAAAAAACACCATTCTTTTCAGTGTTTGCAATGCAGCTATCATTTTAAACAAAATTTGTTAGAAAATGCAGTATTGATACATAAGCGCATTAAGAATTTGATAAGGTCCTATGAACAGGCCGACAAAGCACAAGAGCTGTTATTTTAACCACTGTTTCGTCAACTCTGCTTCCGCTGTTTTTGAACTAGTGTGTGACATGTTGCAGGACACACTTCTAATCGTATTTATTTCGTTATTTACTGCATTTCTTGGCGAAGGTACGATTATGATAGAAATTTTGTTTTTTCTATTTGAGTAACAATGTTCTTGATGTAAACCAAGCTTTAAATCGAATTTTGTCAGTTATTTAAATAGCCTAGCAATATACTCACATGGGATGTTTTTCCCCGTACATAAATGTCGTCAAATTCCGTCTAAGGTTTTGATATTTACAGTCGCTATAATGGCGTTTCTACTTTTTGGTTCGTCGAAGTCACCGGAGATAGTAGTCTTTGCACTATATTCATATTTCTTTTCGATTACCCGATATTCATATCCTTATCGGGGATCGGTATATGTGGTGTGATGTGGTAAGGAATTGCTGATATATTGTGCGTGTGGATTTGTGTGATGCACTCTGTTCGTTCTGTGAACAAATAGAAGGAGCATCTTTCGATTCCGGTCATTTACTTCAAACCAGTATGTCTTTTGCACACTTGGGCGTAGAGTGGGTGGACATAGAGTGCACCCAAGGCTATGGCATTATAAAATTGTGTGGGATTTTTGGTTGGTGAACCCATCGTGACTGTCTTTAAACGAAAATCTGCTGCAACTAAATTTAACTGTTCTTTCTCATGAAGGAAGATGCTCAATCGATATATACATACAAATTTAGGCCTTCTAATTTTAAAACTTTCTCCCGTGCCCTCCCATCAACTTCATCCACTTCCAGACAATTAACTTGTTTTTTTTTCGTGCCGATTTCAGGGATTACATGGCTGCTTGTTTACCGGACTGACAAGTTCAAAAAACTTCAAGCTGAAGTAGATAAACATTCGAAAAAGTGTAAGCCCCGCTTTCCAAGTTTTGACTAAATTTTGAATAGTGGAGAGGCAACGAGACACTACATCTGAAAACAAGATTGATAAAGCCGCCAAGAAACGCCTAGGTATGCTCGGATTTCTTAGCTCTTCTAAAAATTCATCTCAGAAAAACAAGAAGAACGCCTCAAAAGTTTTACCCGTGATCTCTCGATGGTGAAGATGAAGTCCATGTTTGTCACTGGCGTGATTTTCACCTCGTTGTTCAGTGTGTGTAACACCTCGTAAGTTACTGTTAAAACCTCGTTTTTTCATTCATTTCTTACCACTGGTAAATGCTTCACCTCTCTCTCTCCCCAGGTTTGATGGACGTGTTGTATGCAAGCTACCTTTTACTCCAATTTCCTGGCTACAGGGTCTTTCACACAGAAACTTGCCCGGCAAAGACTTTACGGACTGTTCATTCATCTTCCTATACATAATCTGCACTATGTCAATCCGCCAGGTAGGCTCTACATAAGTCCTTGTCTGCTCCTTACGCATTCCACATCTAACTTCAAACCCTCATTACTGTTTCGTCGCCCCAGAATGACAAACATTTAATGTATGTCGAGTTAGTAGTCACCACACTTCAGTTAACTTTCTGTTTGCCTTTTAGAATGTACAAAAGATGCTGGGCTTCAGCCCCTCACGCGCGGCAAACCAGAACGCCTATGGAGCAACCAGTTGAGCAGCGCCAGATCCATTCATCTCCTGGTTCCTTCCCTTGTGATGTCTTATTTCTCTACAAGTTTAGTGTATTTTTGGATGGTGATGGTGGTGATGACTTGTCCTACTGGATGTGGTGGCTAATTTATTGCACCGTGGGTTGATTACGGCTTGTAATTGCGGGAACTCAATCCTAGAATGTCCTTTTCACGCATTGAGTTGGTAAGAGCTGATCGAGGTGGATTCTGGTGTCTTTCTCAGCTATTTTGCGTAAGGTGACGCAGTCATACCGTTCATCATGCCAGTTTGCGTCATGTGGTAACGTCAGAATACCGAGGTTGTGCGATTGCTATGCCGTTTCGTGCTGTCCACGCTACCCTAGCGTCCTGTGGGCCTCCGTCTGTGGTAAAAATTTTAGTATCTCGGAAAATCAGTTTTCACGTTTGAAGCATTCCTTTAAACTATGGTGGGTGGGTGGGTGGGGGGGGGGGGGAATCCAGCTAATGTCCTCACTTGATCCCACGGTGGTTCTGGCCCTGGTGTT